CGGACAGTTTTCGAGGTGTTAAAGGAAAGCGAGTGGCGTGATTCTTCAGAGTTATCTGTTAGACAGTTCTTGGATAGAGAAAGAAGCATTTTCAACGTAATTAAAGGAGAAATGGGTGAAGCTCAAATCAAACCAGACGTAATTGATCGTATTATATGGATTCACGAGAATGATAGGAAGTTCTCGGTTAAAAAATTGACTAATTATTGATGGGGAATGATAACATCATTGAAGCTGATCAGCCTAAATATGATAAAATATGGAGTCTCAAGGTTCCCCCGAAGGTGAAATGTTTCTTATGGATGCTAAAACAAAATAGAGTACCAACAAAAGCGTTTCTTAAAAGAAGAGGAATTAAGTTAAACGAGCATCAATGCTTATGTCCATAGTGTGGTGATATTGAAGAAGATTTGGATCACTTGTTTGTTTCTTGCATATATATGGCATTTTTCTAGGTGTCTTTTTGCAGGTGGTGGCAAATTGAGGGGTGTAGCATGTCTACTGTAGACGAGATGTTTGAATTCGGGTTACAAGTTCGCTGGTATGTTCCAAGAATTTTAGCATGGCAAGTTAGTTTTGCGGCAGCTTTGTGGAGTATTTAGCTGGTCCGAAACGAATTTGTTTTCAGGGAGAAAAGAGCAAAACTTAAAGAGGTTATTTGTATAGTCAAAATGCGAGCTTTGGTTTGGTGTAAGGCACTCAAGGAGTTTAATGATCTGGATGAGAAAAGTTGGTGAGTGTGTCCGGGGTCTTGCGTTTATTCTTGTGAAGAGCAGAGAAGACAAATTTTAATTTGGCAGCCTCCAGGATTGGGGAAAATGAAGTTTAACGTGGATGGATCGGCTAATAAAGAGACAGCGGGGTGTGGTGGTGTGCTACAAAATTCTGAAAGACATGTGGTGGCAATTTTTTTCGGGCCTGTTTCTCTGGTTAATGTTGATTTTGTAGAGCTGATTGCAATTAAATTTGCATTAGAATTATTTTATGGATCCAAGTGACTGAGGAAGGTAGATTTGATCATTGAATCCGATTTTGCAGTAGTATTAAATTGGATACAATCTTGTTTCTGTCGTCCTTGGAGGTGGGGAGCAACCTTTGAAGAAATTGATGGGATGGTATTAAAGATTAAGGATGTTAGTTTCGAGTTCACGCCAAGGTTAAGAAACAGCATGGCCGATCATCTAGCCAAAATTGGATCGAGAATAAATGTTATGTTTAAAGCTTCTTGGTAAGATAAGAGGTTAAACTTTATTGTAGTGGGGTGGACTGGTTTGGTTTTTGCTTGAATGTTTAGTAGGCGATGTTATTTAGATTCTCGTTTGTTCTTGATTGTTGCAGTTCGGTTGTAATATCCCTTAACTGTGGAGCACTCTTTCCACCATATAGGTTTAGGGGGGGTTTTTAATGAGGCTCTTAGTTGGGGATGAGATTGCTTTTGCCAAGAGTAATAAAGTTTCTGAATTTTGCCGAGAAAAAAAATTAAAAAAATTATTAATATAGTCGTTAAAAAAATTGTATAATAACACATTTGATATTCATAAATTACACATAAATTTAGTTCTCTAATATGAAATTAATTAGGTTAAAATATAAAATTTTAAAATTATTAATTAGATTACAGCTTTCAACATATTGAGACAAGTGTGAGTGAGAATGAGGGAGAGTGAGGGGTTGGACAAAATCTGTTTAATTTTATGAAAGCGAGCATAAAGATAAAACTAAACTGCTAATAAACAAACTGAAAATTCAAGTGAAAAACAAAGTAGAATAAAAGCTTTATTTAATGGTTTATTAACTTGCCTTGTGCTTCATGAAGGCAGTAGATAATATCACAAACAGCAACTCAAGCTTCAAACCTAAGCATGCATGAAGGAGACAAATCTTTTGCAACATCAACGAAACAAAAAAAAAAACAAGTTAAACATCGAGGGATTCAAATTTTTGTGAAGAAAATACAATTATCTCTCTAACTATTAATGGAAATTACCTCAAAAATCCTCCAACGTCAACCTTTCACTTGAGAAGCTTTCACTGGCGAAGAAATTAAACTTTGAAAACACCCAAAGTGAAGATATAGATGAGTGAGAGGTAGAGGAATTTGTGTTTCGTTCTCGTCCCACGATTAACCATTAAACACCAATCATTTTGTAGAAATGAACTTTTGTTTTACAGTGAGAATGGTACAACCGTCCTTTTTGACTCTCTGCACATTGGAGACTACAGGTTTGCAGAGTCCAAGCAAACTACGGCTACCCACAGCACTGTTGCCTTTGCTGCAACCCTAAATCTTTCAACACCATTTACCTTACCACTTACCGTAATTTCAACGTTTTAACTTGTATAAATCCAAAATCCAATCAAATGTATTTAATATTTTATCCAAAAGCGAAATGGAATCGGGTTTAATCAAACCTAAAACGGAAACTAAATCACACATTGCTATGAAAACACCGGATCAGCACCAGCCGATAAGTACACTCGTACATAGCAAATCAAATCAACTGAGTCCACCAAATCTCACTAAATCTGCACCCACGTACCTGCTTAAAACCTAAACGACCATCACAATGCTAGGCAAGCTTTGCCTTATCCAGCCACTGCTTTAAGTTTCCAACTGTAACAAACACTCATGCTCGGATCTCTCATGTAACATTCACATATACAATATGTAACCATTAAAACAAAAATATTAAACTCAAATCCAGTTACATATAAAGTTGGCCAAGAGCCTAAATTATAAAAAGGGTCCAAGACAGGCCCAAAAGTTTGAGGCTGAAACAATTAATCCATATTAAATAATTTACAGAAGAAAGAATGAAAAACTATATAGCCTCTACACTCTGAAATCAAAAGATATAAAGCATTGAAGAAGATAGCATCCGGTTCTGGGAGGAAATAAGGCGTTGCAAAGTATGAAGGCTGGTTCAATTCATACCCCGATTGCAGCTCAACAAACTGAAGGCAAATTCGGATGATGTCGTTTATGGAGTCAATCAAGATGCAGCGGCAGGAGGTGTTATAGGGGATGAATTTGATGGATTTACGGCTTCTCCAAAAGTATTGGGAGATGCTCGATTTTGGTTGCGGAACTATGAGAAATATATGAAATCTTCAAACATGCGCACAGATTGGGAGTCTGTAAACTTAAAATTGAAACCGATAATGTTGAGGTGGTCAATGTAACTCGCGATTTATCTCATTACTCAAAGGGACATGCTCTTGTGGAAATGATTTCAAGGAGGCTTCAAGGTGATTGTGAAGTTCACATCCGTTTGATTAAAAGAGAACAAAATATCGTTGCGGACACATTGGCCAAAATGAGTATGATAGACCTATCGGTGAAGAATGTTTCTCGTCTGCCCTATCATAAATTACAGCTATGGTTCTTCTAGAGAAAAATGCTAGTGCTTAGCTTGTAATTCATACCCACTGTTAACCTAAAAAAAGATCTAAAGCATTTAAGTATGTTGAATTCTATATTCTTATATATATATATATATATATATATATATATCAATAATAACATCGAATGAATTAAATTCAACCAATAAAAATATATAAATTTTAATCTAATACATAATATATTGTATAAATTTTAATTTGATACAATATACAATTTTTTTGATAAAAATAATTATATACAAATTGACTTGCAGATTAAAGGAAAACGGATTGGTGACCATGATCAATACACATGACTATATGCAAATGAGTAACAAATAAATTGTGGGAAATAAAAGGTTAAAAATTATGCCACAACAATATATGTAAATTTTATTTAAATTGTTATATATAATAAAAAAATTATTTACTACACATCAAATATAACAAATAAATCATACAAATCATCTGAAAATTCATTAAAATTTCCATGATAAACTATTAATATTTTTGTAAAAGTTCAATTATATAACATGTGACAATGATTATGTGCATCCCACTTGGGCTTTTGGTGGGAGGTTTTGACTTTTAAATGTCCATGAAGTTGGTAATCACCAACAACTCATTTTGACAAGATTTACATTGTATTTCAACTAGTTAATGGAAAGGTCAACATCAATAAATAATTATTAAAAAAAGAGAGAGAAACAAGCAAGCCTGGTGATTTGCAGGTCAAAACCTTCCCTCACATGGCATGAAGTGTGAGATTAATACCGAAGGCAAAGGTGATGGGTCAGGCCGAGGAGAGCCGCTCATTAGTCCGCACTTTGGGAGGATATGGTGAAGTTAAAAGTGTAAATCTTTGGTTGAAATGGTGGTGGTGGTGTTTGTTCAACCTTACCCGCTCTTAGTCTTCGGCCTTGGAGTTAGTGTTATGCACTCCACACTCTACCATAATGGATTTTTGTCTTCCACTCCTTCAATTTCATTCATCTTTTGCTTTCTTTTCACGTGCCATACCACTGGATTGTGTTATCCACAAGCTACAGTATTTGTTCAATTTTAATTTCTATTGACCGGTGAAGTGACTAATAACCGTGAAAGATGAAAGATGAGTGGTTCCAATAATAATTCCGGTGATACTAATAGTACGGGTCTAGTTTTTGTGGAGAATTGTGCATATTCTTTCTACTTTTCATTAGATGAGTATTTATAATATTTTGGATATGTGTCAGTCGGGAATTATCATGTTATTGGTGTTGATTAAACGTCTCAAGAAGTGAGGGTTTGGACTAGGAGATTGTGTATGTCAACATGTGGTCGTAGGTGATGTTACAAGGGTGTGTTCACAAGAATAGTAAGTGATTGGCAGTTAACAAATATTATAAGAGTGTGTTCGTAAGAATATTAGGTGATCGACTCGTGGTTACTTGCGAGGTGTGTTCCACGTGTCTTTGAATTATTTGTATGGATCCTACATTCGCTTTGTCAAAGATTCGCACTTTCGCTTATACGAAGGATCGTGGAGCTGGAAATTCACATATAGTAGCAATTTCAATTGGATTACACGTCAAATAATGCATTTGATTTTAAAGTTAGTCCAAGGGCTGAGGCGGCCCGGCCATATACTCACGTATTCCAACATATTTGGTCATCCCAATATATAATTCAAGGTTTGAAAATTGTGGTATCAATGGGGGTCGTGTTGCTTCACCGCAAAGGAAGTTTCATTGGTAGAAGAAAACGTAGAAATGGTCGACAACTTTGCCACCTCCGCATCTGCCGGACCTTCATTTCCTCTTTAATAAACTACCATTGAAGCAACCCAAACCTACAATCTCTCTAAAACCCTATTTCTTTCCACATGCAACCTCTTCTCTTCAACCCTCATGAATCTCCCTAGCAATGGCCATGAGCAAATATAGTTTTTTACTTCTCTGCACCACCATTCTTTGCCTCTCTTTCTTGCTTTTATTCTTTGGGCGCTGCAACTTATTCGCCGATGGTATTAGTAGCCACACTTTGAGCAACCGGAAGCTCCTGGCTACCAAATTCGACTTCACTCCATTTCTACATCATCACAAGCATCACCATCAACGGCATCGCTCTGTCGACGATAACGTCCACCGCCCTGAACATTCCGGTAACGAGATTGATCCGCGTTACGGTGTAGAAAAACGCCTTGTTCCTAGCGGTCCAAACCCCTTGCACCATTGAGGTTTTCTCAATTTTTTTCCTTATTTTTCCTATTTATTTTCTTATCATGAAAAAAATATGTAATGAAATCAATTTGTATGAATTTCATGTATACTTGTTCAAAATTCCATAAAATGATCATAATTCAGATAAAGTACTGAAAACTTGGATCTCTCATTTATTTATTTATTTTAATTTTGGGATATTTCTGCATTATTTCAAAATTTTCTTTATCAAGGTTAGTTCGTGGATTAACATGCAAATAATATGTTTTTCTTGTAATTTATTACATTTAATTCCGTGCTGATAAGAAACAACTGGAGGAAGAAGAGTAGCAGTAACGGCACGGCACATGACAGCACGGGAAGCGTAATTTTAGCGACGCTGCCCGTAAGAAATCTACAATAAGAGCTTTCAAAATACTCTACAATAAATAGTTGACTTTGGGGAGAGATCTATAAATATTTAATATTTAATTAATTATCTTAAATTTGTATTTCTATTTAAGTTATTGAGTATTTATATAAATTTTCAATCATTAATAAATCATGTTTTATAAATTTGTTTAGGGATATGATTTAATTGTACAATGTAAATCTTTTTATGTATTACACAGATATAGTATCGTTAGATGAGTGAAAATAAACGATTGGGATTACCAGTAGGATATGAGAAGACATTCATTAGAAAAAATAAGTAGTTCACCTGAACCGTCCATTTTCATTCATCTAACGATCCTAAATCTATATAAAATAAAAAAATACACTGTGTAGGTGAATACTAACTCATTCATATATATATATATAGTGTTATTATTTAAGCTTATAAAATACACTTTTAGCAAGTGAGTCAACTATTTGGTTGTGCAAGTTTCTATTCATTAGGTAATCGTTTGTGAGGTATCTAAGAAACAGAGCACGTGAGAAATTTTGGAACAAGTGAGTAAACTCTTTTTTCATATATATATAATGGGATTTTTATTTTTGTAATTTTTACATTTTATATAGTTTTATATTTTTATAAATTTTTTAATATTTTAAATACTTTTCAACTATTTTAAAATTTTAAAATTCAAAATTTTTATTCTTGTAATATTTTGACTTCTTAAAAATTTTAAATTGTTTAATAAATATTTTGGATTTTTAAAATAATTATATATATATTATTTAATTATCAATTAATCTCTCCAACTTTCTAAAAAAATAATTAAGTTACCCTTCCACATTAGCAGTCATTCACAATTGAATTGTTACTTCAGTATCGTTAATGGACACATTAACACAATAATAATTAAAGATAATTCTCGTTTGTCAAAAGCATTTAATTAATATGACTTTTAAGTTTAAAGACTCAAATAAATGTATTTTTCGCATAAGAGTTATATATCCTTAAGTTTTGTATAATAAGATTTCAATATTAAAATTATTTTTTATTATATATAATTGTCGTAATAGTTTTGAAGTCGATAAATTATGTTGGCAAGAAATAAAAGTTAGAGTTACCATTAATTATTTTTATATTAAAGTAAGATTGAATCATCCAGAAAATTTTGTTGTTTTAATATAATTTTAAAATTGATTAAAACTTAGAGTAAAGTACATAAATGGTCTCCTAATTATAGGATATTTCTTTGTTGAGTCATTGACTATTAAAAGTTATAAAATGGTCTTCGAGTATAGGGTGTTACTTTATCGTGTTCATTAACTATTAAAAGTTACAAAATGGTCACTTGATTATTCATTATTTTCTGATCTTGTCATTTTCTATTAAAAAAAATAACGATTATCCGAGCATGACGTTAACATATTAACTGAGATAAGATAGTTGTTTGAGATTATGAGATCATATTTTATCATATCTCATTCAGCAAGTTAACGTCAAGCTCAGGCTGCCATCAAATTTGTAATGGAAAAAGATGAGTTTGAAACATATGAATAGTCAGGTGATCATTTTGTAACTTTTAATAGTTGAGATATTCAATAAAGCAACACCTTATAATTGGGAGACCATTTTATAACTTTTAATAGTTGGAGACTCAACAAAGTATCTCCCTATAATCAGAGGGCCATTTATGTATTTTATCCTAAATTTCATTAAAAGCGTAATTTTAACTTATGAAAATAAAAGTGAATTAGAACGTCTGTAGGAATAGAGTAATGATATTAATTTAAGAGATATAAAAACGGATGAGCATGATTAATGTTAAGAGAAAATATCTTAGTGACCGAAAATGTCTTATAATATACGATTTTAACCAATTTTTGTTGGATTTGTGAAAATGACAAACAAATTCGTAACGCGAACTCAAATTTCGCAACAAAGGTTCCAAAATCGCAACGCAAATAGGTAAATCGCAACGCGAATAGGTAAATCGCAACGCGAATTTTAGTATTGTTTACCTATATCGGTAATTAGCGTTGCGAATTTGAAAATCGCATTGCGATAGTACTGTTTACATATATCGGTAATTAGCGTTGTGAATTTGAAAATCGCGTTGCGATAGTACTGTTTACCTACATCGGTAATTAGCGTTGTGAACTAAACAGTACTATCACAATGTAAACAGTACTATCGCAATGTAAATAGTAATATCACAATGTAAATATTAATATTGCAATGTAAACAGTACTATCGCAATGAGTTTTTCAAATTCGTAAAGAGATTTTCAAATTCGCAACGTTAATTACCGATATAGGTAAACAGTACTATCGCAATGCGATTTTCAAATTCGCAACGCTAATTACCGATATAGGTAAACAGTACTATCGCAATGCGATTTTCAAATTCGCAACGCTAATTACCGATATAGGTAAACACAACTATCGCAACGCGAATTTCTGAAATTGAGTTGCGAATTTGTGAAATTGCGCGTTGCGAATTTGGAAATTGTGAAAATCGCATTGCGAATTTGGAAAATCCCGTTGCGATTTACATATTCGCGTTGCGTATTTGGAATCTGTGTTGCGAAATTAGAGTTCGCGTTGCGAATTTGTTGGTCATTTTCGCAAATCCAAAAAAAGTTGGTTAAAATCGTATATTATAAGACATTTTCGGTTACTGAAGTTATTTTCTCTAATGATAATTACCATTAAATTAATTTATAAAATATTAAATTATAAAATACTAAACATATAATTATAAATTAGTTAAAAATCTAATTGTAATTTAATTAAAATACAATATTTATAAACCATTAGTTTTTAGAGTAAATTATACTATTGACCACCTAACTATTTACCCCTTTTAAATTTACCACCGATTTTTTAATTTTATCAATCGAGTCACTTAATTATTTAAATATTGTCAATCAAGCCACCTGCCGTTAAATATTAACATAAGAAATAACGTGGCAGTGAATAAAATTTGCATAATTATACATTTAGTCCTCATTACTTACGCATTCTATTAATTTGGTCCTAAATTTTATTTAATTCAATAAATTTAATCTTCAATCTGATGGTGACATGTGTAACCATGTGATTGGAATTTTTTAGTATTTTTTATTTAATAAATTTTCCATCCAATCAAGTGGTGCTACATGTCACCAATTGAATGAATGAAAAATAAATTAAATTAATAACAACTACTGGTGAGGTTTGAACCTGGGACGCAAGTCGAAATACTAAGCACCCTAACCACTAAGTTAGACCATTAAATTATTTTGGTATACAAAACATAATCTATATAATTTATAATATAGTTAATGGTAATAAATGACCTTATAAGGACTCAAACATGAAATAACTGAATATTACGAAAATACAAAATATATATAAATAAATATTATAATTGATTAATGAATGAATATTTTTATTTATATTTTAAATCATGTTTAATGCAAAAATTAAAATAAAAGTGAATTTAATATGTTATAATTGAAATGTATAATTTTACATACTTTAAATTAATAATTTTTCTTCATTATTCTTATTTTATTGAACTAAAATGTATCATATCTTATATTTTAAAATATTAGAACATCGATCGAATTCTAATATTATTTAACAACTCTAAATTAAAATAGACTAATTTAATAAAATCAAGTTTTCCCTAAAATTTTCTTCAAATATATAATGAATAAATAATAAAATTCTTACTCTAAAATAGATCAACGCATAAGTTAAAATGCTTACTATAATAAGCTTTCAATTATCAGAAAAATTCTAAGTCAACGAAGCTCTTCTTTATATTTCAATTATAATCTATTAAAATTACTTTTATTTTTTTTTCATTAAAATAATTTAAAATATAAATAAAATAAATTCACATATTAATCAATTATAATATTTGTGTGTATATATATATATATATATATATATATATATATATATATATATATATATATCATATTATCATATTATTCAATTATTTCATGTTAGAGTTCTTATTAGGTCATTTTCCCTTTTTATTGTCATTAACTATATATATTATGTCGTGGTAGATTTCTTACCCAGTGGTTGGGGTGTTTGTGTCCTCTCCTTACGTCTTGGGTTTAAACCCTACCAGCAGCGGTTATTGATTCAATTTATTTTTATTCATTCAATTGGTGACACATTGCACCATTTGATTGGATGAAAAAATTATCAAATTAAATAAAAAAATCAAGAAAAAAATCCATTCACATAGTGACACATGTCACCATCGGATTGAGGATTAAATTTATTGAATTAATTAAAAGTTAGGACCAAATTAATAGAATGTGTAAGTAATGAGGATTAAATGTGTAATTATACAAATTTTATTAACTGTCATGTTATCCCCTCCGTTAATATTTAACGGCAGGTGGCTTGATTGACAAGATTTAAATAGTTAGATGACTCGATTGACAGAATTAAAAATCGGTGATTAAAGTAAAATGTGTAATAATTAGGTGCTCAATGGTATAGTTTAACCTAAAATCTTATGTCTTACATATTTATTTAAAATAAATATAAGGTTAACATTTAGAAATAATTCTCTCCTCCACTATACTTTAAAGTAAATTGAACTTGTTTATTTATTAAAAAATAAGTAAATATTCCAAAAAGAAAGTATAAAAGTGAAAATCTTTTTAGAAAACATAATTCATTATATTATGAGAAAATAATGCTCCTTCACGGTCACCGTCGGATTGTAGTAGACACGATGAATGTGCGAAGAAGTTGGTATTTGCCACTCCAGAGAAAATATCTGAAGATCCCAAACTTGGAACTATTGCGGAGATGAATATGTTCCTCTTTTGATTTGCTTTTTGTTGGCTGATGTTATGAGATGATTGTGGTTTTGGATTTGTTGAAGGTGAGTTATTAAAAGTATGAGGAATCAAGAGCACTTGTTAACCTTCTCTATAATGTTGCAGCTAAACCACGTTTTATAGCAGATTCAAAGGGGATCATTGGAGCTCATGGGGTTGCATGTGAGTTGATAACTTGACAAGGTTGGGCCAGAAATTGGAAAATGGAGGAGATGTCAGGACTTTGTTGGCGCTCAAGGCATCTATGCGTGTTTGCTCCAGGGATTGATATGGATCGGCAATGATTGAGTTGAGTCGGATTTTCGGTCAATTTGATCCGATCTAAAAATCTTATACATTCTATCCGAAATCCGATCCGACTCGAGTTTAGGATAATTTCACCTGACGCGAAACTCGACTCCAGTTGACCCGAAATAATATGAAATTATTAATTTTATTTAATAAAATAAGAACTTAATTGAAAAAATAATAATATAAATAGATATATTATTGTAATCATCTCTAAATATATAAGGTATAATTATATTATTTTTTGAGTAAGGTCGAATTAGATTTTTTTCATCATAAATTCAAACTCAATTTTTTTTTAAATCTAATCTAATTGATTTAAATTATATTGAAACTCGTTAGATTCAGATCACATACCCTTATTAGGAATTGGTCATGACCTAAATTAGGAATGGGTTCGTATTCATTGAAACCCAACTTTCAAAATTGTAAAACCCTCGAGCACAACACTAGAAACACCCAACTTGCATGCATATAACACTGAGTAGGGGTGTATTCGGTTCGGTTTTTTTATAAAAATTTGAACTGAACCGAAATAAACGGTTTTTCAAAATTTAAACCGAAATCGAATGGTTAAAAAAACGAAAAAAACGAAATCGGTTTTTTTGGTTCGGTTCGGTTTTTTTAACGATTCAGGTTTTTTGGTTCGGTTTGGTTAGGTTTATCGGTTTTCAATGAAAAAATCACTTGAAACTATATTTTAAAAAAAAAATTGCCTATTCGATTCAATATGGAACAAATGTGTTCCATATGAAAACCCCAAACCGAACCGAATCAAAAGAATGAAGACTTTAAACCGAACCGAAAATTAAACCGTATAATACCGAACCGAACCATTTTACTCGATTCATGTCATTTTTTCAATTTTCTCAATTTCCTCAATTTCGTTGCTCGGTCTTTAACTATGAGCTATAGATAAGAACAAATACTTTTTGTATATTAAACTTTGATGGTAGCCGTCGAACTAAATTCTAATAACCCTTCAGATTAAGGAAAATTGGTTCGAGGACCTTCCTCGAGTTAAAGGAGTTAAACCCGAAAGGGCAAACGCATGGCAAATGGCTCTTTCATTATGAAATAAAAAACAATTTGCGCACAAATGTCATATCCTTGCCCGTAAGCAATAAAGTTGGCTCCTCGATGTCACAAACATTCCACCCATTTTATTTTTCGTGTGGATGATGAGTCGGTCCTATTTAGGAGGTGACACTGACAGAATTGATGTCCATATATTATATACTATATTAATAAATGATAACTGATTAATTTAATTATTTTAACCAAAATCTAAACTAAAATAATTACAATAATTAACTTAAACCACAATCGATAAAACTAAATGTATAGTTAAGTAGCTGTAATTAATTTTTAGGAGTTGAGAGAGAGATATATATTAAAGTTGACTCAAAACTGAGTTGTCTCAGATTACCAACTACTTTAATTATAGTTTATCAGCAAACTGTATATTTGACATTCACTAATGTATATTTGTCGTAGGTTACCATTATGCAACAACCCGTTTTCCAGCTGTTGCAGAAAAAAGAGAATTGAGATTTTGAATTTTAAATAAGATAGAATTTATAATTTTATATATTAAAAATATTATATTATTAAATATTATTTAAATTAATCGACTAATAAATAAAATAATAATGATTATGAAAATTAATCTTATAAATTAAAGCATTTTTTTAATATAGACATGGGTCACGCTTATGTGTTGCCTAATTAAAAAAACACGATGACACTAACACCACAAAATAATAATTAAAATGCATTAACAATATGAGTCATGAATCCAATTGTTTATCCACCGTACTTTCTTGTCAACTTGAAAATCAATTATATTAGGCTTTTTAAGCCATTTCATCATCAAACCAAGTACACCATTCCTATATTCGTATAAGTTTTTAATATATATTTGACAATAATTGAGTAAAAACCCAACTTAATTAGTTATAAACTTAATGTATATTTCAAAAGAATCATAATAACTTTGATTTGTAATAATAAACCTTGTGTGTATTTGGTTCAATTATATGACTTTAAATATAGAAATAATTTAACCTGTATAAAACTATCCAAGGCTACCTCCCCATAAGTAATTAATTAATGGGTAAAGTGCATAAATGGTCCCCGGCTATAAGACGTTATTTTATTGAGTCTTTCGATTATTAAAAGTTACAAAATAGTCCTCCGGCTATATGGTGTTGCTTTGTTGAATCCCCGACTATTAAATGTTGTAAAATTGTCATCATACTATTCATATGCTCCAAACTCATATTTTTTCGTTAAAAAATTAACGGCAATCTAAGCTGGACGGTAACCTGCTAATTGAGATATGCTAAAATTTGATCTCAAAATCTTAAAAGACTATCATATCTCAATCAACATATTAACATTTAGATCGAATGATTATCAATTTTTATCGATAAATGATGAGTTTAGAACATATAAATATATAACTTTTAATAGTCGATAAACTCAACAAAACATCGTATAATTAGAAATCATTTTGCAACAAAGCAGCACCAGGTGGTGGGCCCAAAATAAGTGAGAAACACACAATTTTGGATTATCAAGATCAAAGATAGAGGCTGGGTGAGTCCTAGTGGAACAGATTTCCATTATCCCACTTTTTAAGAAGAGAAGACTTGGCACTTTGCATGCTAAAATTTCATGCCAATTGAGTTGACTCAACAACTTGCTTTTCTTACCTTATCTGAGTGAAGGACACGTTGAAATCCTTTATCTAGTGCTTCGCTTCCGTACCGTCCTCAAATTGTATTAACCGTTCAAATCCTTACACGTGGAATCCTATTTATGTTTCGGTCTTCCCATTTCGTATTTGGATCCGGGGAATGGGAGTCGGAGCGTGGAGAAGAGATTATTATTAATATGTTGTTTTATTAAATTCATAAAAAAATTAATGAATCAATTATAATTTGATTTCAAATATTATTTTTTACTAATATAATAAATATCAAATGTTATTTGTGTCGTATTGATCTTAGTACATCTCTAATAGGTTCAAACATTTCACTAAAATCAATATTAAAATATTATTGAATATTTTCAATTTTTTATTATAAAGTAAAATTATATACTTTTTATACATCTCTCTTAATTAAACTAAACATTTGATTTGTTTAATCACATGTCCTTGTCAAATAGGATGTATGATAATAAAATGACATGAGAAAATTTAAGTTGAATTATTCATCGATATTATTCTTGATTTTTTGTTAATCTAATGACAACACATGACATTGAAGAAGAAAAATACATAAAAAAAAACATCTTTTACCCTTTTATTTCCAAACTCAATGATAAAAGAATTGTTGTTGTTTTTAAGGTTATGAGTTTGAGCACAATATATATAAAAGGTATAAGCATTCAATATAAAAAAGTTAAGAGTTATCTTTAAACAAATATTATTTTATAGTTATCATTAATAATAATAAAAAACTTATAAATTCTTTATTATATTCTCTTGGTTCTTTATTTGAAAAGAGAAAAATTGAACCTCAGTCTTTATTTATGATCACATTTGTTATCCAACAACTCTTTATTCAAATAAAGAGATAAATTATGATTCATTGATTTCAACACATCTAATATCAATATTTTTCTATACAATTCAAAAAGATAAATTACAACTAAATACAACAAACTTCTCACCTCTAATTGTACATCACTATTTTTTTTATACGAACGTACATATATTTTTTTGAGAAACGTGAGCAGAGAATTCAATGGCATGCATCGCTCTCTATATGACTACGAATATATATTAATAATTTGGAATAACTATAAAATAATATATATTTATAATTTTTTAATACATTATTGCAAACACAATTATTCAAACTTAAAATCTGTAAAATAAGATAATACTTCTCTTAATCACTTAAATATTTTTAAATATGAATAACATAATACATATAGAGCGCATTGTGTGTATATTTAAAATACAAAGGTTTTTACGTATTTAATTAATAGTTATACTTTTACACTACTATTAGGTCATCTCAAATGCTCAATAAAAACATAAAATGTATGATGAAGCACCAAATCATTTCCCAACTGTACCCTCCACATATGATAATAAAATAATTAAGTTATTTCCACATGCAGTAACCGGTCAACTGACTCTCCTACGCCTCTATATATATTTCAAAACCCCTCTAAGCCCGCCAAATTTTCTTTCCAAGACAAAAAATCGGAAAAGAAAAATGAAAGAGTGGAGCTTGGATTCACCGGAACACCGCTCTACCTCCCCAAAGCAGCGTTTAAGCCTCGGCTTCGTCGTTTCCTTCATGGCTCTTTGCGCCAAGCACGCCGGCCGAGTTTCCAAAAAGCTGAAGCCAAAGCCTAAAGATCAATTCGGCTTGCGTTCCGATTACCCCAGATTCTTTGCTTCTCCGAAATCACCTCTAAAATCGCCGAGGCCGAAGCAGCTTTTGGCGACGCTGAGTAACAAGGCGATCAAGTTTGTGCACCGGAAGAGGCACGGCGAAGGAAACGGGAGAGATGCAGAGGCGGAGGAGATCGGTGACGGTGGCGTATGGCAAAGGGGGATCCTGATGGGCGACAAATGTCAGCCGTTGGATTTTTCAGGTGTGATCTATTACGATAGCAAAGGGAATCAAGTGGAGGAGTTGCCTTTTCGCTCCCCACGTGCCAGTCCCATGCCTGCTTACCTCAGCTCAAAGAATGGTTTGATTAGGTAAACCACTCAAAGGTCGTCTAATACATGGATGTTTTTGTTTACGGCGTTTCCTTTTTTGTGTTAATCTCCAAGGTGCTACATGCTGTGTTCCTATAGGTGGGTTTTGCTTATGCTTCATTTGGTTACTTTGCAACTTTATTATTTTTAATACACAAATCATGTGATTAGTGTATTTGAAAACAAAATATTGAATCTTAAGTACAACACCCATAGAAAATTTAGAGTTAATTTCGTCTCTAGTTTTTCATTTTATTCTCCAGAGTATGTGTACAAAGCTATTGAGTTAGACAACATCAAACCTAGTAACTACTATAGTTTGTTTTGCTTGAGATTGGATTTCAAATCAATGATCAAAAAGCTGTTTCAAATCCATGGTTTTAATCGAAGTGCATAACAATTCTCAAATCTCTCTAATTAAAATTATTTATGAATATTTCTAGACATTTACTCTTAATATTATTTAATAATTATTAAAAATTATCTAAAAAGAAAGAAACTGATAAATGTTTAACACATTCTATTAACAATTTATCTCCGCTAATGATTTACAAATTATTCCAAGTGTTTCTATGAACTTTTCAAAATTTAATTTATTCAATCTCTTTGTGAATATATATGTAATTTATTCATTTTTTCGTTGATGTCATTTTAGTTTTTCTTCAAGCAACTTCTCTCGAATATAATTATAATACACTTATATATATTTTGTCGTACATGAAACATATTATATTCTTTACAAGAAGTTTAGCTAACAAATAATAATAAAAAGTACAAAACAAATTATTTGCTAGTCTGTTAGTTGATGAAGCTATTGATAGATATTCTAATTTGATGCTTGATAATGATATCGTTGATGATATTGGTCAATAATTATGTTGTCTAATAATTATAAAAATAAAGTAAACAAATGGGTTTTTAATTATAATGTGCAATTTTAGTAAAGTGTTTAATTCTTAAAAGTTATAAAATAAATTTTTATTATTTTATTTAATGTTATTTTGCTGAGTCATTTGATTATTAAAAGTTAAAAAATGACTACGAAAACAATCATATGTTATAAATTTATATTTTTCTGTTAAAAATTTAAGGATTGTATGAACTAGACGTTAATCTTTTGATTAAAACATAATAGATTTCAAAATCATTTGAGCTTTATTTTCATATCAATTTTTTATTTATATTATGACGTTAAATTAATACTTAAAATATTATATCGTCTAGTTAATATTTAAAAGCAACGATAACATTGATAAATATTGTTAAACCATTATTCTTAATTAATAGGTTAAAACTCAATGACCGTAAATTTTTTAACGAATAAAGATGAATTTGTATAAGTAGTAGTTGATAAATTCAACAAAACAACATCCTTAATCAGTTTTTAATAGTTTAGGGACCATTTGTATAATTTACCCTTATTGTAAATATTAAAATATAAAAATTATTTATTTTATAGAAAGCTCAATAAATCTTAAAATATAAAAATTATTTATTTTATAGAAAGCTCAATAAATCCAGGCAAAACAATCCCGAATATATTATTTCAGCTGTGACAATGTATAGAGATCAACATCGTTTAAACGCAGAGGAACAACTAGTGTAGGGTGAATGACGGTACCACAACCCCTCTGCTCCCGGTGAATTTCAAAGAGGCACCGACCCTCCGAACCACCACCACCATTTCTATGTTTAAAGCACCCAACCATTCGTCCCTGAGCATGCGCCTACTTATAGCTTATAAATATAAATAGATTTTAGTGAAATTTGAAGTTTATATGTAGAGTTTGAGCGAATATAAAATGTGCTAATCAGACATATTCTTTAACAAGAACCGTTAACAAATATAAAAAAAAAAAATCCTACGTAGATGACATCGTATCCTTTTTGATCATTATTCTTACATCTTATAAATCAACACATCCCATCTATTATCCGAATTTTTCAATTAGACACATATAACAAGAAACATAATTAAACACTGAAAATCAACATCATCACAAATCCAAATTCCATAAACAAAATAAAAGGAACAAAGTTTGAGAATTCCATTGCTCAGGCACCAGGAGCAGCGTCCTTGACTTTGCTTTGCAAGTATCCACCATATTCTATAGCATAATCCTTAACATGGCTAGCAGTATCATAAATCCGGCTCCGAGCTGAATCAACCCGATCCGACCCAGGCGGGTGCATGCCCCTAAAGTACCGGTACATCCAAGTCGACCCGGCCACCACGGCCACTCCGAAGCCGCACGCCGACAAGAACCCGGCGGCCGCGAGGAAGAGCAGGGCGCATATCGGGAACCAAACGGGGCTGGAAACGATAATCAAGGGCAAGAAAAAGATGAACCCGAAAACGGTAGCGGTGAGGGTGATGCCGGTGAGGATTAAGAGAATCGAGGCTGAAACGAAGAAGAGGATCAAGAAACCCAGGAGGTGGGTGGTGTTTGGGGCGTGGGATTGGATTTTTTGTACGAAAGTGGAGGCAGGGGAGGCGTTGCGGTTAGTCCTGGAAGTTAGCTGGTGCTGGGTTGCGTTGCGTTCCGCCATGGTGATTGGGAAAGTTGGGGGGGGAATGAGAGAGAAAGAAAGAGGTGGAGCTTAAGGGTTAGAAGTGTTAAAAAATGATGAGGAGAAAGACTAGGGCCATTGAACGACAAGTGTCGGGAATACTAAGCTTTCGGCATGCAGAAGGATACACGTGGATATGTAGTGGAGTTTGAGTTCCTAAGTTTAGTTCAGGGGCTACGTCACTGAATAGATTTGCAAATATAGTATGTCAAAGATATTTTGAATAACCAAACTCAAATTTGATGAAATAAGTTGTACATGGTTTCGCAAACCTCAATCTTAAAAGTAGACATTTTGAACAACAATTCTACGAACTGAGTAGAAGCTTGTGCTGGCGAGAGAGAGAGAGATGGCGCAATCTGCGGATAAACCACAGGGAATAATCGGATATTTAATTCAGAAAGGTTTGAAACATTCCTAAAGGGAATCTCTATGTGTAGTCCAGAATGTTTGAGCCATTGGTATTCCAAGCGGGGTAACGGAGCAGCGACTTTCAGAGACCGTGAGAACTTCAGATATAAGCGTTCAAGAAACGGACGGTTGGATATAAAGTTGTCAAGAGCTTCCCTACACGTGTTCCAGTACAAGGGATGTGAGGGAAACAGTACAGTGGCTAAATGAACAGAGCCGGATGCCTTTACATCTTAAAACCCGTTACCTCTTTTTTAGCCCTTTATTTTTCGTTCTGGTCGGCTGGTGCTGGGTGATTAACCCTTTGTTTCTTTGTGTCTTAACGAAAGGCGGCTGTGGCTGCCTGCCTTTCGGAACAGTTGCTGAAGCTTAATTGTTTAGTTTGCTGGCTCGAGCCTAGTGAAAGGACGTTTGCCTCGAACATCCAAATCTTAAACTCCTAACTTGTTCAACTATTTTTAATAGAGAAAATAACAATTTACGATTTTAACTAATTTTTTTTAGATTTATTAAAATGACCGTTCCCAGAATCGCAACGCGATTATGAAGAATCGCAATGCAATAGTACAAATTAGCATTGCGATTTTTCAGAATCGCAACGCAAATATGAAAATCGCAACGCGAACATATAAATCGCAACGCGATTCTGACTATCGCAACGAGTCTCCGTTAAATCGCAACGCGTATTCGTAAATCGCAAAGACAATACGTAAAATCGCAACGCGTATCCGTAAATCGCAACGCGTGTCCGTAAATCACAATGCGAATACGTAAATCGCAACGAGAATACGTAAATCGCAATGCGTATCCGTAAATCGCAACGACAATACGTAAAATCGCAACGCGGTTTTTAAAGCGCCATTAGAATCGCTACGCGTATTTTATTTTCAAATTCCAAACACGAATATTAATTATCGGAACACTGAACCGTCCACAGTATATTTTGTAATCGCAACTCATAACCTAAAACATAAAATCACAACTCAGTCTCATCTCCATCTCTCACTCTCCACGACGAAATCCGTCCCCATCTCCGAAGATTTCCGTCCCCATCTCCGGCGAAATCCCTCACAACCATTCACGGTCAGAAATCCCTCACAATCATTCAGAAATGGAAAATCAACCTCCGAGTGTTAGTTTTTTTAATTATTTTTATTTTGAAATTTTTGCATTATTTTAGGTTTTTCATATTGAAATTGATGATAAGTTTACTGGTAATTTCAATAATAGATTAACCATTTCACTTAGATTTCTTATTAAATTCATTCGATTGCTGCCAATACTGCTAAACTGTTTAGTCTTTAACCCTGTGAAGTTAGTATTTGTCTTTGTTTTGTCTTTTGGTTGAAGTAATGCAATCCATTAAAGTTTCAATTTGCAGAAGAAGAATAGTTTCTAAACTTAAAATCGCAACATAAAAATTAAAATTACAACACGAAAATGACTATCGCAACGAGAGAAATGAAAATCGCAACGCGAAATGAAAATCGCAACGAGATAATCGCAACGCGAAACCAAAATCGCATTGCGATTTTCATTTCGCGTTGCGATTCTCTCCTTGCGATTTTCATTTCGCGTTGCGATTTTCATTTCTCTCGTTGCGATAGTCATTTCCGTGTTGCGATAGTCATTCTCTCGTTGCGATTTTCATTTCAACCAAAAGACAAAACAGTGTTGCAAATTTTAGTTTCAAGAATAAACTACTACTCTTTATGTTTATTATTTTTGGTATATCTTCACAATGTAGTTTTTGGTATATCTAACTTGGTATGTTTATTGCTTTTGTAGAAAATTGTTTGAGGAAACCTGCTTCGGGCCATGGCTGAGAGTACAACATCCGGGTGGAGATGCTAATTTGACCCATTTGTGGCTTCAGACCATGACTAGCGATCTACCCGACAATATACAACGTGGTGAGGAAGAGATATGGTTTCATTTTCCACCGGCGTATACTTGTTTTGGGCGGAAGGAATTCTGCTTAATCACTGGTCTACGATTCGGACACGATGATCTAGGCCGGTACACTCGTCATATCACCCGCCCATCATGGTTATCCTGGGTTTTTCCTAATAAGTCAATAGAGAAGCCGAACTTACACGTCGACGACCTGAAGAAATTGTTTAATAAGAAAGATGGTTTTACTCGGATGAATGACGTCGATGTTGTCCGAGTATGCCTTCTAGTACTTTTGTATGTCGGCTTTTTAGGCAGAGATGCCAGACAACCTATTCCTCAGGAGCTAATATTATTGGTAGAGGACCTAAATGCATGGAATCTGTTTCCGTGGGGTTCGTATATATGGAAAGCTACCTGGACTAAGTTGTCGTCTGCCTTTGATAACAGCAAAAGTTTGCGTGGCGATGGGTCAAAATACACTTTGTCAGGCTTTGTTTGGGCCTTTAAGGTAAAAATTTCTATATAATGTTTTCAAAATTATAATTAATTATTTAACAATTACTAATGTTTGTTATTATATTGTTTGTAGATTTGGATATTCGAGACTTTCCCCAGCATGCGGACATATGCATTAAAAACTTCAAATGATATTCCTAGGGCTATTTCCTGGAAGAGGAAACGTCTGTTGGATTGGGAAGACTTAATACTATATGCGACAATAAATAATGTAAGTTAACACAAATACTATCATATATAAATAAGTTATTAATAGTAGACGTTTAACTTTGTTTGAGTTTTTATATTTTTAGGAGTCCAACACTCAATTACAGAGACTGACACCCATAGAGGCTGAGCTTGCCACTGATTGGTGGCAAGCTAGTCAGCGTTTTTTTGATGGCACGAATGATGAACAACCTCCACTTCCTCCACTTCGAGAGCCATCACCTCACCCAGAGCCATCACCTGATCGACCCGAATATACACCTCTACAACGAGAGCCATCACCTATCCCGTCCCATCATTGAGCCTCTTCTCCACCATCACCTCATGATAGGCGACCGGCAAAGATGCCACGACTTCTATCTCCATGTTCTCCACCTCCACGGGATGAGTCAAGGGAGTTACGTGATGAGGTCAATGCCTTGCGTGAGGAGATCGGTACTCTACGCGATAACGATGGTGCATGGCGTGTGGAGGTGTCTACTTTACGTGGTGAGGTTGCTGCTCTACGTGAAATGGTAGTATCGTTGCAGAATGAGGTTCATACTCTACGCAACGAGGTAAGTTTAAGATTTTCTATATTTAACTTGATGATAAATTTACTCGTAATTTCACTTAGATTAACCATTTCACTTAGATTGCTTAGTAAATTTATTCGGTTGCTGCCAATACTGCTAAATTGTTTATTCTTTAACACTGTGAAGTTAGTATTTATCTTTTGTTTTGTCTTTTGGTTGAAGTAAATTTATTCGGTTGCTGTCAATTCTGCTAAACTGTGTATTATTTAACACTGTGAAGTTAGTATTTGTCTTTGTTTTGTCTTTTGGTTGAAAGTAAATTTGTTCGGTTGCTGCCAATTCTGCTAAACTGTGTATTCTTTAACACTGTGAAGTTAGTATTTGTCTTTGTTTTGTCTTTTGGTTGAAAGTAAATTTGTTCGGTTGCTGCCAATTCTGCTAAACTGTGTATTCTTTAATACTCTGAAGTTAATATTTGTCTTTGTTTTGTCTTTTGGTTGAAGTAATGCAATCCATTCAAGTTTCAATTTGCAGAAGAAGAAATAGTTTACTTTCGCAACACGAAACTTAAAATCGCAACGTGAAAAATGACTATCGCAACGCGAAATCAAAATTGCAACGAGAGAATCGCAACGCGAAATGAAAATCGCAACGAGAGAATCGCAACGTGAAATGAAAATCGTAACGACAAAATCGCAACGCGAAACCAAAATCGCAACGTGAAACTATAATCGCGTTGCGATTTTCATTTCGCATTGCGATTCTCTCGTTGCGATTTTCATTTCGCGTTGCGATTCTCTCGTTGCGATTTTCATTTCGCGTTGCGATTCTCTCGTTGCGATTTTCATTTCGCGTTGCAATAGTCATTTTTCACGTTGAGATTTTAAGTTCCAGAAAATATTCTTCTTCTGCAAATTGAAACTTGAATGAATTGCATTACTTCAACCAATAGACAAAGACAAATACTAACTTGACAGTGTTGCAAGTTTGAAACATATTTGTCTTTGTTATCTGATGTATTTTGTGAACTATGATAGAATAATGACTTGGGTGAATACAATGCAAGTTTGAAACATATTTGTCTTTGTTTTCACTGTTTAAATATCATGTCTGTTTATTTACTGATTTTTGTATTTAATTATTTAGCGGCCTGGTAAGGTGGATGCTTTACGTCGAGTTTTTCTTGCACGACGGAGTTCACGCATCAGACGGCGTGCACGTGCTATTAAGTCTCCGTATACCCCAATAGTGCGAAGACACCGCAAGAAGAAGCCCGACTCGCCTGTTATCCCTCAAGAGTCCACTCCTATCGTTGAAGAGGCCCCTATCATTCCTCGAGAGTCCCCTCCCACCGTTCAAGAGGCCACTGTCATCGTTGAAGAGGTCCCTCCCACCATTCAAGAGCCCGATTCACATGGCGTCATATGTAAGATTCTTGAGAAACCCTCTGACGTGCCGGACATGATGGA